AGGAAGCCGCACGGGCAACCCTGGGTATCACACGGCCGTGCAAGTTGCACTTGTGGCCGTGTGACTTTTGCCGAGGCCAAACACGGGCATCCCAGGAAATTCACACGACCGTGCAACCCTAGCCGTGTGAGATGGCTGAAGATCGACTTAATGATATGGTGCGTTTCGACTCGCACGGGCAAAGTGGTGAGCCACACGGCCGTGCGGCCTGCCCGTGTGAGTCGGGAAATTCTGGTTTTTGAGCCAATTTCGAGCCAAAAGTGGAGAACCGGAGTTTCAGAGCAAAAACAGAGCCCTAGAGAGAGAAAGTACGAAGAACACATCCTAGAAGCTATCTTGGAGCTGGGTTTCATCGAATCGAGCTTGGAGATCGTCATAGGAGTGGAAATCATCATCCTGGAGCAGATTTTCCTCATCGTTATGAGTATGACTAATCTGATTACTGTTTCCTTCTCTCTCTCTATGGAGTAGAACCCTTCTCTCACTTGGGTATGAAGAACCCTAGTTCCTGGTGTTAAGGATTTGATTGTAATGACTTGGGATGATTATACTGTTTGATTTTAATCGAATGATGCATGTTTATTGAATTGTTTGAAGTCTGATCAGCTTTTCTCGATTTCTGCTGCAACCTGAGATAGATAGAATCTGATTAGGTTGTTAGAGCCTCTTCATTCGATAGTAGGAGATTGGCTATACGAGAGTTAGTCAGTTTACTGCTTTGTACTGGAATTCAATTCCAGTAGTGGAGTTCTGTGTTCATAGCCTCAGCGTTCTATCCCGGTGAAGACTAGTCGTCTGCCGGGTAGTTAGACTGAGAGGGCTTGGTCAGCTTAAGAGATTCCAAGCTACTGTCGGAACTTCCGCAGTCTAATCAACAGTGAATCAACCCAGGGAAATTACAATTGAACCTAATCAAGGGGTTAGGGGGACTCATTCCCGAGTGACTCTTTCCTGACTTTGAAAACCGAACAATTTCCCTGCTTTCTTACTGCTTTTGCTTTAAACAACAATCAATCGAATTAGTTTTCTAGATAATAGATAATCACGGAGTAAGCAGTAGATCTAGACCCCGGGTTGATAATAGAACTTGCCTGTTACTGCATTCCCGGACTGCGATTACACTTTGTCGCAGTTTGGTGTTGTGTTTTGGTGTGTCAGTTTCACTTTGTTGATACGGTTTGACCGTCGAAGGAGAGGAACCTCTTCTTCCTCGAGATGAAAAGGAACCGAAGCTTGAGTGGACTGGCTGTTACCTGAAGTAGATCCAACACTAGACGAGGAAGAGCTAAGAGGTGACGGGGAGGAGCTAGAGCTTGTGTCTCCAGGAGGCGACATGGAAGAGCTGGATGAGGAGCTTATTGTGGAAGGTGAGGAGCCACTAGAATCAGAAGCATCAGTTGAAGATGAGGATGTGCTTGCGGTGAGAACTTCCTCAACTAAATCACCCTCAAATGGACGCAAGAAATCCAAATGCTGAGATGAGGAAGCAGCGGCCACGGCTGCCGAACCATAGTAGAATTGATGTTCGAGGAACACCACATGACACGAAATGCGAACCCATCGACTGGAAACATCATAGCACATGTACCCTTTGTGTTTGTCACTATAGCCGAGAAAGACATACTTCGCAGCCTTGGGAGTCAGTTTATTGCGTTCACGTTTGCTTAACAGAACATAGCACACACAGGCGAAGACACGTAGCCAACTATAGTCGGGAATCCGAGAGAAGAGAGCTTGATATGGACTCCGCTGGTTGAGGATAGGTGTGACCTGACGATTAATCAAATAGACAATTGTGTGAACTGCCTCAACCCAGAACCCAGTCGGCACCTGCGAGTGAAAGAGGATAGCCCGAGTGAGATCAAGAACATGACGATTCTTGCGTTCAACTACTCCATTTTGTTGAGAAACACCTGGACATGACTGTTGAGCAAGAATTCCACGCTCCTTTAGTAATTCCTGTAGTGGATGAGAGGTAAACTCCCCTCCAGGATCGGACCTCAGGATCTTTACTTCTCGACCAAACTGTGTAGAAACCATCTGAAAGAACTCCCTAGCCGCCGACAACATATCAGACTTCTGCCGAAGAAAATAGACCCAAACATATCGTGTAGCGTGATCCACAAAAAGAGCGAAGTATCTAAAACCAAGGCGTGAGGTCACAGGGGAGGGACCCTAGAGGTCAGTATGTACAAGGTCAAATGGCTCGGAATAGACCGTTGTACTTGAGGAAAAGGAACTCTGAGACATTTTAGCTTGCAAACAATGAACACATTCATGCTCAGACGTAGAAGAAATATTGCCCGACAACCATTTATTCTGAAACATAGTACGTAGTCTCAAAGAATGAGGATGTCCCAGTCTAAAATGCCATAAATCCCAATCTGATAATGTAACTGAAAATCCCATCTTATCAGAAAAACAAGCATCCGAAAAATCACTCCTAGTCTCACTATCCAGCTGCAATGAATCACCACCCGCCTGTGCCTTCCCATGCAGTGACCACGTCCTCCCATGCAAATCACCACTCCTCCCATGCAAATCACCACCATCATGAGAGTAATGATCAAGCAGGAAGGTGCGACCACACTTACTCCCTCTCCCGATTTGCTTCTCCGTCCTCGTGTCCTGCACAGTACATCCACCAGCATCAAAAATTACCCGACAACCATCATCAGCAAGTTGTCCCACCGAGACAAGACTAGGAACAAGTTTAGGAACATATAACGTATCAGGGAGAGAGATATGAGACTGAACAACATGCCCAACCCCTTTCACATCCATTGTTGAGCCATTAGCTGCCTGTAGAGCAAGTATGGGTACCGAGAAATCTAGTTTACTGAACGAGTGTTGTGAACTCGTCATATGATTGTATGCATCTGAATCTATGTGCCAAGGAGAGGATGAGGAAGAAGCATTACCCGTGGCAAAAGCATATGTCAACGCAGACGGTAGGGACTCCTTCAAAGCCTCCTGCACTAAACGACGAACATCGGCTGGAGTGAGAGAAGTGGACGATGGAGAGGCAGCATCCACAGCATATGCCAACCCAGCTGACCGCGGCCCGCCACGACTCCCATTCCAACTCCCATTCCCACGACCCCGGCCACCACAAGCAAGGATGGGACACTCCCCAATCAAGTGACCATCCTACTTGCAATAGTTGCAAGAATTACGCTTCTTGCAATGAAATTGGATATGTCCGGACTCCTTGCAGTGGTGACAAATAATTTCCCCCTTGGCAGTACGGTGAAATTGAGGCTTACCTCTGTGAACCACAAAAGCATTCACATTATCATGAGCATGAATGTCCAATTTGGCCTGACTCCGCAGACGAGTCTCTTCACGAAGAAGAGCAGGAAGAACCTCCTCCATAGTATCCACGTTACGATGAAGAAGAGATGCGCGAATCCCCTCGAATTCAGCTCGAAGATTCATCAAAAACCGCATTACACGAGAGGCAGTGCGGTCGCGGAGAACTTCTGTGGTGGCAGCAGTCGACACTAGTGAAGTCAGCATAAAATCATGTTCAGTCCAGAGTGTCATAGCCTCCTGATAGTATGTACTCACATCCCGATCCCCTTGCTTCAAGTTTGCGAGATCAAGTTCAACATCAAATTTTCGGGAGGCGCTAGCGTTCGAATACACAGCAGTGAGATGCTGCCACATACCAGCAGCAGTGGAGAATCCTCGAAGACTCAATGAAATTCCCGGATCCATGGAACCTAGCAGCAACGACATAACCGTGGCATTGTTTGCCGCCCAGTCCTCCTTTACTTTGACGGACGCATCCGCCGCGGGCTCCGGAGACGAGCCATCAAGCATACCCATCAATCGACGACCCTGAACAAAGATTCTGAATTGGAATTCCCAAAGAGTGAAATTTTTACCATTGAAGCGAACCGAAATAACGTCACCCTTCTGTCCCTCCATGTTAGAACACAAAAAAGAATGGACACCCACAGCAAGAGAGCGAACACAACCTAACCAAGAATCCTCTGCTGCCAAAAGCACGGAAGACAGCACAAATAGCACAAGCAACGCACGAAAACGAGATCTGCACAGCAGCCACGGAAACACGATCGCAATCCACGAAAATCAGAGATGGAGAGGCTATGATACCATGTCAATTAACACAAAATCGATCACGAACACGAACACCGAATTTACGTGATTTCCTCAACGTAGAACGTTGAGACTAGTCCACGACACAAGACAGAGAGTTTCTGTATTAGGTTTCGTGCAGGTTACATAATTAGGGCGGCCATATCAACATATATATACTAACCGGCCTATTAACCCTATGATTAATTACAGATCAGTACATTAACTTCTAACAGACGAATGTATAAGTTCGGATTCAATGCATTTGATTAAGTTTCTATCATATAAATTTTCCGACTAGTTTATTTATATTATACCGTAGACTACTTTCGTGGAAAACTGCTCGTACCGCACCAAAAGCCATGCTTCTTCCACAGTAAATACTAATAGAAAAATTCTTACTCCAAATCTTTTTTGAGACCGAAACTCCGACCAATTACATATTTATTTGTTATTGGTGTACACACATTTCTTTATTTTTATTTTTAATTAATATTTTTTATCAGAGGATAATCGAAAATATAAAAAAGAAAGACAGAAGTCAAGAAAACTAATGCTGGTTAGGAATCCTTGCAAATTCTTGGCCCAAGTTACCAGGTACCACTAGTACTATGCACAGTTAATTAGATCCATGAAATTGAATAATCGAAACCTTATTTCTGCTCAAACATAGTGTCAATATGCTTTACCCCGTTTAAGGAAGGCTAGGAAGCCACAATATACAGTAAACAAAATACAATGGAGACAGAGTGAGGACGCTATATTATTATTAAGCATTATTAATTAGAGCTACGTATAATATACCATCCATCCCACAAAAAAAAGAGAAAACACAGAGCAAATTAAAGGATCATCACGACTCCGGTTGGCTTTATTAGTACTTAATATATATTAAGTTACTGAATGTAAGACTGGCCAGTAATATCCAGGTCTCGGTCCCCCGTAGACGGTGGCGGCGGATGCTTCAGCTCCACCGCCGGCTTCTCCACTGGTCCGTCGGCGCTCTGCGTATCGCTAGCCGGCGGCTGCCCTTCCCTTTTCTTCATCCCAGTAGTCTCGTTGGCCGCATACATCCCACCGCCATAGGCTTCCTTCGTCACCGGCCTCATCCCCGTCACGTGCGGCTGCTGGGTCGTCCCACCACCTTCCTTAGTTTCTCGCTTCTCCATTTCTCTCTGGATAATAAGGTTCTTGCTATGGAACTGGAAAGCTTTCTTTTATATAAGTTGTCCTTTCCAGTTCCAGTGGCGGAGTAAGACGTGTCCGTTCGCTCTTGCCGCAGGCCGCCACGTGCTTTGCCGCATGCAAAATTTTTATCGGACTGATAAGAGTCATTAGATTCGTGTGGGCTGGGCAAAGATTATCCACGGTTCTGGACCGGGCCTTGGAATAGCAGTGAGCTTCACCCAGAAAAGCCCATTCGTTTCAGGAGCACATAAACATAGTGATGGCAATGGGGCGGGCAGGGCGGGTACCTCAATTCCCATGCCTCGCCCTACGCTACTATGGGTCGGTGCGGGTAAAACCCGCGCGTGTACGGGGCGGGGCGGGTCAACCCACTCTTATTACATGTTGTTCAAAAAAATACAAGTAAATTTTACTTTTTACAATAAAACATTAAAACGTAGGGAAAAACACTTTAAGAATGAAAAAAATATTGATAATAGAATGGATAATTGAGCCTAACAAGTTGAAGAAAAGTCAAAATAGGAGAAATATATGTAGATATTGTAAAAAATTGAGATAAAATGAGTCTAGAACGGGACGGGGTGGGGCAGGGCGGGTCGGAAGTAGATACCCATGCCCCGCCACACGCTACTGCGGGTCGAGTAATACCTGCGAGGCGAGTTGAAATTGCCATCACTACATAAACATGGATCCGGAGATGCCAATATGACATTAGTTGTTCATCTTGCTCCATGCTTGTTTGTCAACCTATATGTTAGAGGAACTTGACTTAATTTCTTGATTACAAGTACGAGAGATGCTTGGTTTTTATAGTTGGATCTTTAATTTTTAAAGGACAAATTTTTTTATAAATCACGGAGTATGAGAATTAAAATGGGATTAAAATCATATATTTAATCTGATTTGAGTCAATTTTGTCGCTCTCGTTTCGTCTGTTTTGTATAATAATTAATGGAAAATTTAAAAAGTGAGTTCAGGGTTAAGATTTAAAATAAATTTAAATTATTTTTTGATTGGAACCGATTTAATTCAATATCAATTTGATCCAATCGATCCAATGGCGTGACTAAAATGGAACAAAAGCATTCTATATAGTGGAAACACTGAAATTGAAATAATAATTTAATTAACATAGCTACATATAAAACCAATCAAAATTGAAAGGCAGACGGTCAACTCCTAACTCTAATTAAAATTCAGTATGTTTTTTTGGTAGAAGAATACTGAAATTGCATTTGTTTTCGTCGCAGATGATGTCATGATAAGTCCCCTACGTACAATATCGCATCTCATTGGGCTCATGTGGGAACCTTGAGTATGATATTGGACAGTCCACGTGTGCAGCTGCATTTAGTGCTCTATTAGGGGTTCAGATATGGTGACCAAGGGGATTCTTAGTCACTTGACTAAGCCTCCCTTAGCTTTTGGATTAATCTAATGGTCAAGATAAATTAATGAATTATTATTAAATGAAATGGGTAATTTTAGTATTATCAAAAATTCATTAACTCTTATTTTTGGTTTTGTTTTATTTATTATTATTTCTTTCTTTTTTTCCTCTCCAGTCGTCTCCTCCTTCCCTCTTTCTTGCGATGTCCAGAGAGAGAGAAAGAAAAACATGGCAGCAGATAGAGATCCCAGCGCCGGTGGAGGAGAGAGAGAAAGATAGAGGTAGCGACGTCACTGGAGAGAGAGATGACGGCGGCAACGTCGGTGGGAGGAGAGAGAGGCGATGTCAACGATGGTGGTGGAGGAGAGAGAAAGACCGCCAGAGGCATATTTTTCGGAGAACGGCAGCGACGGCAACGATGGATGAGAGAGAGTCGGCGGCGGCGATGGAGAGATAGAGAGAGGCAGCAACGGTCATCGTCGTCGAGAAACAAAGGGGAGAGAGAGACGATGGTGGAGGAGAGAGAGATTATGGTGGAGAGAGAGCATCGACGACGGTGGAGGAGAGAGTGGCGGCGCGATGATGGAGAGAGAGAGAGAGAGAGAGGTGGTGACGGCAGTGGAGAGAGTCGGCTGCAACATCGGTGGAGAGAGTTCCGACCTCCTCCATCGTTGACTTAGTAATATGACTAAGGGACCCCCAGTCACTTGATCTTAGTCTGCTCTAGCTATTAGGCTAAAAAGACCATAGAGGAATGAAGAAAGAAAATAATCCAGGTATTCTTTGATCTGTAATAGTTTCAAACTAATTTGTCAATATATATCGTTATAAAATATAATTATATAGATGGTTAATCATAATCGAATTCATCAAACATAAGTAATTTAATCTCGATTAAATGGTCGGCTCAAGTTTACTCGAGTCAAGAAGTCATGGTGTTCATTAGCCATTCTACACAGGTTTAAAGCCAGACAAACAAAAGTTGAACCATATCAAAATAAACTAGGTGTTTGTGCCATGTAACCGCCCTGCCCGTGCGCCTCGCCTCCTGCACACAAAAGCGCCCACCGAACCCTCTACGAGGGGTCGTTAGCACTCCAACGCCCAAGTCAGAATCACTTTCTAGAGAGAGAAGTTGGATATCAGTTTTAGAGAGAAGTTGGAACCTGAGTAAATGAGCTCCACCCACTTCACTATTTATACTCGGGGTAGGGTCGACCAGTGCCCCCCAAATCCGCCCTACGTCATCACCTCATTAAATGCACTGTACCCTTCTTTCTCTAGGTGCCTCGACATTCTGACACAAATCTGCCCATACAAAGCGCATGGCCCCACTCCCTGTCTCTTCCGTACGCTTCTGACCGTTGCCCCCCTTTTGTCGTCATGCGCCCCTCCCAAGACCTAGTTCTCCCTGCTTGGGCCTTGACCTCTAGGCCTTTCTTGGGCCGGGCCTCCCCCCTTTGCCAGGCCCACACTCCCAGCCCAGGGCAACACCCTGACCCCTCACTTGGGCCCTGTTTCCTATGCCCCCAACAATTGCCCCCCAGTTAGGCGCCTACCGCTCGGTGGGGGCCTAACTAACTAATGCACCTCCAGTAGCTCTCCCCTTCTCTGATGCGCTCTCCTTAACTCTCCCGCTTTCTCCGAAAAGTCCGCCTCGCCAACGCTCCCATTTCGCTGGGCGCTCTTGATTTTCCCCCCTTCTTCCCAACTAACGCGCCCATCTTTTCCTCTTTCTTCATTAAAGAAATTTTTATTGCAGGGTGACTGTTGGGCTTCCGCCTTAATTGTGGGTGACTGTTGGGCTTCCGCCTTGATTGTGGGTGACTGTTGGGCTTCCACCTTGATCCCCGGTCCATTCTCCCTTCCCCCCCAGGCTGAAGCGATTTCGAAATTCGAATTTGGAATTCGCTTCAGCCTAGGTGACTGTTCGGCTCCTCCGCCCCCGCTCTCTCTCCTTCTTTCCTTTCCTATAAATTGCCCCCCATCACCTCCTCCTTCCTCACTTTTGCAAAAATCGCCCTCTCTCTACTTTCTCTCACTAGAACTTGCTATGCTTTGCTCTGCCCTGCCCTCAGTGCTCCTTGCACCACTCTCGGCCACCGCTCTCGGCCACTTGTGCTAGGCGCCTTGCCCCTCACCACTCTCTCCTTTCACCCTCTCTCATGGCCTCCTCTAACCAGCCCGGGTCACCCTAGGCGACGCCCACCGATGCTGCGGGGCCTTCCAACGCAGCGCCCTCCAACACGGCGCCTTCTGCTACCCCAGCCGCTGCCCCAGGTACCTATACGCCCTAGCACCTTTACTTATGCCCACTTTTAATTTTTGCACGCTACACCTCACACTGGTCGTTCTTATGAAAAGAGTTGATTTCCTTCTGTCTCCCTAGCGCCTCGCGCCGCGGATTTTGAGTGCCTCTTTTCTTACTGTCCTTCTTCCACCTGAGCGCCCCTCTTGACCTTCCTCCTTTTCTTATTACTTAGGCACCGGCGCGCCTCGTGAATTCGGGATAAGCCAATGGGGCAATATGTGGCCACCTGGGCACATGCCCACAGACATCGATCGAATGTCCGAGGAAGACGCCGGGCCGCCTCACGCCTCCAAGATATTGTACTCCCGCTTCACCTCCCTTATTCGAGTGGCGCAGATGCCCGCTGACTGGCGTTACGCGCACCCCCCGCCTAGTGCGCGCGTAGGGGTTTGCGGGGACGATGGATTGGCGTATACCAAGAGTACGCCCGCTTTAGGCTCCGATTTCCCATCGACCCTATTCTTGAGGGCGTGCTGCATCTATGCCAGTGCTCCCTTGGGCGCCTTTCGCCTGTCATCATTCTATACACCGTGCTCTTCCGCCTCAAGTGCCGTCAACATAACATCCTTCCCTCCTTCAAACTTTTCCGCCATTTTTTTACCATGATCAGAAGCCCCAATTGCTTCAGCCTACAAAGGCGCTCAAAGTTGGGGTATCACTTCATCAGCAAAGGCAAAAAGATGGGGCGTTCGTGGTTTGAGTCTTTCTTCTTTGTCCGCCCACGAGACACGCCCTTCTTCGAAAGTGGCGCCCCTCCTCCGACTCAGTGGTCCTTCGGGGACGAAACTGAGTTCAACAATCACCCTGCACTAAACCAGGCAGAGGAAGATATGGCGCGGCGCCTTTCGTCCGCCCCAATAAGTCTTAAGAAAGACGACGCCTATGCCCGTTATTTAGAGGAGTTTTATAATGATGGTAGTTTCTTACGCCTTTCTCGCGCGTCTCATCCTCTATGCGCCTTGACTAACCATGCTTCTTGTCTCTCTTCACAGGCACCGTGTTCACAAATATCTCGGATCTTATCCGCTCGAAGATCCACCTCATTCCGCCAAAGGCGCCCCGGAAGCGCGGCAAGGCTACCAAGGCGCCTTCTGTTCCAGCTCAACCCGCCCGCGAAAGCCGGTGCGGGTGAAGATCATTGCAAACCGCCCCCCTGCGCCTTCCGGGGGCGCCGCATCCCCTGCTCCCAACGACGCCCCCCAGCCATCTTACAACTCCCCTATGCATTTCGACGAGGAACGGGGAGCCTCGCCCGCAACCCGACGCCAAGGCGACTCTCC